CCTCCTTTCATCTTTTGGGCTAGTCGCTTGTGGGCTCGAACCTTTAATGTTACTCTTGCTGCTTTAATTTTAATATCATCCGTCGTTCAAAAAAAAAACTTCGGGGAGGGGGAAATCACGGATCGTGATCTTTAATTTTTATTATTTCTACACGTACATTTTCTCTTAAACTTTTTTTCACAACATATATTCGTATAAATCTAGATCCAAAAACCTTTTTTACTGATTAATTATGCTATTACAGATTATAAAAGACATTACAAACACGATGTTATAGTTGACAATTTTATTTTATCACGGAGCCGTCCTATAAAATTAATTTTTGACAGTATTGCTTATGCTATGCCGAAGATATCTTGTAATTTTTTTCTCTAATTTTTTGTATAAGTTATCTTTTCAGAAATTAAAACCTAGATTTTCTGGTGTGAAAATTACATAACATGGAATTCTAACTGTATATTTGGATATACAAACTTTTAAACATAACCTAAACCATAATACTTCCATAATCCAAAACCTATGTAATCCTCAAATATATAGAAAACATATTTAATCCTTAATATATAGAAAAGTTGAACTAATCCGTCTAAAATTACCTCAGAATAAAGATAGCGAAAATCATTTAATCATTCCGATAAATTGAGGAGTTTTCAACAGTTTGATCACTACATTTTATTTCTCGTGTATTATTAATATTTGGAAATTTAAGATTAGTGGTTGGGAAAAAGATACATTTATGGGATTAAGAATTATTATTAGATCTTTTGGTGTGAGATGTAATTAATTTCCCCCTGAAAAACCAGTTATTATTTTGATTAAAGCATATTTAATTAATTATATTATTTTAATACATAGTAGAAAGTATCTATATATTCTCTCTATTCTTTTTTATATTTGTAAGTTTTAATTATTTTTTTTTGTAAATTAGTTGATTTTTTTAATTTTTTTTTATGTAAGATTTATTAATAATTGATGTTAGATGATCAATGATATATAGTTTCTATTTTATTAATGTTTAAATTATGATTATATAAAAAAATTAATGATATTAAAAAAAAATTCTTAATCTATGGAGTCAAATATAAAAAAATACGGAATAAAAATGGTTTATGTCAGAAAATTTATAATAAGTTGGATATATAATCTTAACACGGGACAAATGAAAAGAATCTTGAAATATTGATTGTTATGGTTATATTGGTCTTATGGTTACCTAATAATATTGTAGTAGTTTTTATAGCAAAATAACTGATAAATTTTCATATATTATAAAAATAAGATTAAAAAATGATTCAGAAAAAATTGAACTTGATTACAACTTTGCAGAAAGCAAAAAGTATGTTTTAATTTTTCGGCTATGCGATAATAATATTTATTATTGTAATTTAAAATTTTGAGTTATTTTATTTTAACTGTGTCTCTGTTAGTCATAAATATTCGTACGGCTCTCGAGAAAAGGTCTATATGTTAGTTTTTCTAAGTGTGCCACAAATAAATTTATTTAAGTCTTAACTTAATCGCAAATAAATTCTTACCATCTATTGGATTATTATTTTAAGATTTAGATTATAATTCTCGATATTGCTCGACAACCTGACCCTCGTTCAAATATATCATATAACATATGTTCATCCATTGTCTCTATTGTGGCACATTTTCTTATCTGTTTTTTTTCTTTATTTCAAAATAAAGTCCTTATTAATATATACGAGCACGAATATGTGTTTTTTGCACTCTCTTTTCTGAAATTCATAATGCTTAATTGTATGCATGGAGTGATAAAGACTCGAATCAGATCGAGCATGTTATGTAGAGTTAAACTAATATATCTGTCTATAATAATTGGCAAAAAAAGGGTCGATCGATCAACATGAAAATAGGAAAACACACTTAGGTGTACGTATAAATTATTTTGATATAAGATACATGCCGGCCCATAGTATGCAAACAAATGAACTATATATAAACTGGAGTGTTTAACGCATGTGTATATAAACATGATCTAGCATTGTTCTTAATAGTTAATGAATCCCTAGAAAATTTAAGGGCTCGTATCTTCTAGATCGATAAGCCTGAGGATTAACCAATATAATATATGAAGAATGTGGGTGGATTGGAGGAGGTCCACAATTAGAGTATGTATATACAATACTATATTTTTTCAACATTACTGAAACCTCTTGAATAACTGAAGTATGAGTCCTTGCGACATTGGTCGCTCCAACTACTATACTACACTTGATGGAGCATGCATGAAGGAAATGTTAAATGCAATTATAGGACGTTAGACACTGATTATCTTAAACAATAAAAATGGTTCGTTGTTATGTATTTGAGCATATACTTTTAAATTGTATAAGAATATAGTATGATTTATTTGTACACTATGACATTTTGAAGGATTTAAAATAAATCAAACTTTACACCCAAAAAAAAAAAATCAAACTAGCTTCATAGACTTGTGTATGGTTAACTATAAAAAATGTTTTCATGACATATTATTGCAATGTGCAAGCCTTTGAAAATAATCCATCAGATTTTTTCACAACTGATTTATGATGAACTTTCCATTTTATAACGTATTGTAACTTGTGATAGTGATTGCAAAACTTTTTATCATAAATCTATGATATAATCTATATAATGTATCTTTGATATAATATAAGTACATTTATATTTATGTTTAATTTATTCGTTGCTAACAAACTCCTTTTCTTATTCTTTTGCAGTGTTAAGGTTAACTTAATCAGAGGAGACGAGGAGACGATCTTGACCAGCGACATATAGATATCACTCACTCTTTATATAATTGACAAATATTTCCCGCAGTGTACATATTTTTCTTAAATTTTGAAAGGGTTGGTTAGAATGTCTAATTGTGTGGATCTTCAAAAAATTAAGAAGGTCGATTGTGTATCTTTTATTTTTATTTTTTGCTTTAGGTTTAATCAAATTGGGTTAGTAGAGATGTACACGTCCATTCTACTATGCAATATTTGTTTGTTTATATATGTTACATATCAAGCCTGCAGCTTCTCTTAATTAATCAGTAATGAATCTCTCATTTTTTATGCAAAGAAGAATCCAAAAGGATTTTCAATTTCTTTAGCAAAAACAAACTTGTACTAATGCAAAAGGAATGAGTAAAAATAAACATGAGAAGTGTAGGCCATTAAGCAGACAAAATATAATTAAACAAATGGAATAATGTAACCCACCTTCATCTTCAACTTTGCCTTGTTTATAAAATCTCTCTCCTTAAAGCTATACTCAAGGTTAAATCGAAAACCTAATTCCAGTAGAGCAACAAACACACAATTAATCCCAAAATTAAATTCAACCTTCGAATATAGAACTGTCATCAACACCATCATATCATGAGTAGCTCTGGATCTCCTTGTGGAGCTTGTAAGTTTCTTAGGAGGAAATGTGCAAATGGATGCGTGTTTGCTCCATACTTTTGTCATGAACAAGGAGCTTCACACTTTGCGGCCATTCACAAGGTCTTTGGAGCTAGCAATGCTTCTAAAATTCTCTCGAATCTTCCCATTAGTGATCGTTGTGAAGCAGCCATTACAATCTCTTATGAAGCTCAAGCTAGGCTTCAAGATCCCATCTATGGCTGCGTCTCTCATATTTTTTCTCTCCAACAACAGGTTATTTCATTTCAAAACCCTAATCTTGATATTCCCTAGCTAGTAGCTACATAAACATATATAAGAATATTTAGCCGACGGTTTTGTTAAATATTTCTTTTTGTTGCGTTATAGGTTGTGAATCTACAATCACAGCTTGAGATTCTAAAGCAACAAGCTGCACAAGGCATGATGTTTGCTGATTCACCATCATCAGAAAACCCTAATAGTTATTATGGAGACACTACTAAGACTCCTTATCATCATCAAGAACATCAAAATATTCACCATCATAATCATCATGATCAGACCCGTTTGGCTTACCAAACCGGAAGTTCGGGGATGATTCAGCACCGAGATGCAACAGAGAATAGCTACCCCACCGAAAACCCCTCAGGCTTTGGAGAATTCTCCATCTATCCTGACTTGGAACAACACTTGAACACTTTCAATCACGATCATCTCAAAGAGATTCAATCGGCAAATTTGGGTTACATCTCCTTCTCATGATGTTTCATTCTATCCAAACATGGGTTGATTGATTCCTATCAGTATCCAATCTATATAGAATAATATATATATAGCTTATATATGTGTCAAGACTTTTTGATGGTTTTCCTCTCGATTGTTGATGTTGCCTAGCTACAAAAGTCGGCTTTGTATTCATAAATAAAAAAGTGCAGGATGCCCTAGATTATATGTATTCATATCCTTAAGATCGATGTTTTAGAGCATACGTCGTTTTTATTGTTATATATGCACATAAATCATACGAAGCATCTCCATATCATCGCAAATTTATTACGATCTTAATTTAAAACAATAGAAATCCTTAGTTAACTAACTAAAAAAAAACTAACACTAGGCCTTGGGGTGCCTCATAGGAAACAGCAGTGTTTTGAACATTTGCAGGTAATTGGTCTGGATTTATGTTTATTTAAAAAAATCTAAGCAAAAACCCTAATTTGAGATACAGAAAATTAGTCTTGGATGCATGTTTATTTACTTCGTCGAATAATCATGCCTCTTGTGTTATAGTATGATCTTGTGCTCAATAGGTACGTTTAAGAAATTGATGCAACAAGACAACGAAGAAGCATAAATTTATTGCCGACTCGCCGTAGATCTAATGAGTTGGCTAGTAAAAAAACATAAAACGTATGCACCAGCCGGGAATCGAACCCGGGTCTGTACCGTGGCAGGGTACTATTCTACCACTAGACCACTGGTGCTTGTCGAATATAGTATTTTAAACTTTCAATGAGATTCACCACTTCTTGGTGCAAAGCACAAACAGAGGGATTTCGAACTCGTATAAATTGCATTGAAAAGAAAGCAAATGAATAAGTAGCAATTGTATTAGCTGAAGAAACAAACATGGCTTTTGTATGCGTTAATACATAGAACTTGACATCCCTTGACGACCCTACACAGTTATTGCGGTATCTAATCATGTAAAGAAACTATAACTGGAGTCTGAACTAACTGTAAACACTAAAACAATTTCCTTTTGTATCTCAACAATGGAGTAAATAGATTAGCAGCACTCCAAAAATATCTGGTGAAGAGATAAAAAAACGGCGTTTCATCATCAAAAGTAATCGTCAAAGCCCCCTTCCTTCTTACTGTCAAAGTTCTCCGTTCCTGCAATATTTTCTACAAGATGAGAAGAAAAGATGATTCCATTAAAAATGTCGACCTTCTGCAAACTGTTTATTATATTAAGGATTCAAGGTGAATAAAGTAGCCAAGTGTTTTGAATTGGAAACACAATTCAATTTGTGATGTACTGTGTAATGTATCTATTTCTTTTAAATGAAATATGGGAATTTAGTGCTATTACCACTGACCTTTGGCCTCTGTGGTTGATAGATCTTGAACAATGACTTGCAGCTGACTTGGATTATCTGCAGGAGAAGAAGATGGAGCTGGAAAAGTGAAATCAGAATCAGTTGATGAAGCTTCAGAGTTCTCAGAGGTGTCAGCAAGATCGTCCCGTACAACTGGCGCTGAAGCAACCAACGTTGAAGACATAGAAGGAGATCTCAAGATGGACTTCAATTGCGAGAATTGATCCGACATAGAATATAACAACCTGGAATGCACTAAACAAGACTTAGCATCAGGAAGTGTACTGTAGTTCGGCTAAGATTATCTCTGGTTGTTACGAATCAATTAATACCTGTTCAAAGAGTCTTGTAGTTGGTAAACTCTTCTTTCTGTTTCTTCTAATCTTTTGCGTCTTCTCTCCCCAAGTTCTAGGGCTTCATCACATTTTCTTTCGGAAATGTCAGCTCTTTGTTTCTCAACTTGCAACAAGGCCTGAAGAGTGAAATTCACGTTTCAGGTAAACAAAACAATATAAACATGTCTAGAAGCTGCTCAAACATTACCTTCAACATCTCAACTTCGGCAGTGAGGGACTCAATTTCTGTATCACGAAAAGGATTCGTTATATGGCTTACATCAGAAAAATTGATGTAAGGGTTCTCTGAATCGAGAACAAAGGACTTTTCATTTCCATCATCTGCTTGGAAGGTATGTTCTGTCTGTCGTTCATGTCCTTTCTCTCCATCACTGTGCTCTGAATGCATTAACTTTTCAGTGCCATCATCTGATTGGATGGAATGGTTTTTCTGTCGATCATGTCCTATCTCTTCATCATCACTATGCTCTGAATGCATTACAGACTTTTCAATTCCATCACCTGCTTGGATGGAATGATTTGCCTCTCTTTCATGTCGCATCTCTTCATCATCACTCTCCTCTGAATGCATTACAACGGACTTATCAACTGCCTCTCCTGCCCGATCAGAAACTTCCACCTCTCTTTCATGTTCTGTCTCTTTCTTTTTGTCAGCCTACACAGATAATTTTATATCAATTGAAGACAAATACAGCTTCCTTTGATGAAGAGAGTCATGTTCTACTTATCTCTATATACTGCATAGATCAAAACACTTGAATACTCAAATAAGTTGCAGGGGCTAGTCTGGAATACCTGATTTGACTGTCCCAACTGTTTTCTGGCTATTCTTCCTCTGAGTTTACTTTGGTAAACAAGAGAAGCTTTTTTCAGTTTCTTGTAGTCAGTTATAGCACTGTAACCACGCCAGTAAGCCTGCAAGTTTCTTAAAATTATTAGTCATTTCTATTTCTTGAGATAGAATAAACGAGTAACGAGTAAAAGACCTGGATCAGAGTGGCTGCCTTAGACTTCAATTTATAATGGAACTCTTGTCGTGCAACCATTGTCCGGATTCCACTTTGCAATGTGACTGCTGAAGATTTTGTATTTCCATAATCTTTAATTGCAATCTGTCTACGCAAGTTTTTCTGAATTTTGATGGCAGCTTCCTCCCTTTTCATGTACCTTGATATCTTTCGTGCAAGATTTGCTAAAACATGAAAGAGAGACTTTATCAGCCTTCCTAATTTCCTGGACATGTCAGTGAAAACATAAAGCCAAAAGAAAAGCTAAGGCAATCACCTCTCCAATTAGCTTGTATATTAACTGAAGCCCTCCGCAAGATAACATATCGTTCTCTAGTGAGACGGGTTCTAACTTGCCCTTGAATCATCTTCGCTGCTTCGCCTAGCACTTTTGTTCTGTGTGCGTCTAGCTCAGCCATCTGACCAGCTCTAAGGAAAACTTTACTTCTCCCAATCTGCATATTCGATTTCATATCAACGCGCATCAATGGTAATGGATTCCTTTAAACTTTCTAGGAACCTTACTTGGAAACCTGTAAGCCCCTTTTTGTCCAAAATCCACTTGCATGCAACACCTGCTTCATACCTGCTTACAAAGTAAGGAAACTGAGATAAAAAAAAACCCCAAGAGAAGAAGAAAATTCAAGCTTGATGGGTAGAACCGATACATACTCTCCTTTCAGAATCTCTGGTGCAAGAATGATAAACCGTTTTAAGAATTCAATGAAAGTCCTATTTGTTGGATATCCAGCGCATTTCACTCTGATGGCCTCAAGAACACCCTGCATAAGACAAAGATCATATTTCACCTCAAGACATCAGAACATGTTAATTATGAAAAGTTCAAATAAACACTGACCCCAGAGCGTAACTGATGCAAGACATTGGCATTGTCAAACACTGTTGGCTGCAACAAATTGTTTGGCTTAACACATCTGATGTAGTGCGGTTCCGTAAGATTCAGCGTCTCCATCAGTTGTTGCAATTGTAGCTGCACCCAATTACTTGAACATGTCAGCCCATACAGATGACGATTGTGGCATCAAAAGTTCAATCTTATTTGTTAAAAAGTCTCAATGAAATAGCAGGAACATCACCTTGAAACGAGCGCCAATTGAGGAAAACTTAGATTTGCTATTCGCTTTAGGAAGAGGAGGAAAAAGGCCTGACACAAAAGAACATTTGGAAGCATTTAACAAATCCTGATGCTCGGCAACAACATAGTCTTTGTTTTTGTCTAAAAATTGATCCGACTGGTACTGAACCTGAAAAAAATAACATGGGATATTCACCTTAAAGATTGTAATAATATCTACTTTTAATTCAGAAAGCAGCAGAGTGTGAAGTGCAGCTTACTTCTCCTGCATAATGAACTAAAGTAAAATCTGATCGAGTCAATTTTGGTTTTATGAAGCGCTTATGATTCTTGAATGTTTGATACAGCTTCTCAGAAAATGTTTCAGGAGTTGATTTGGGTAGCATGCTGCAAAGGAATAAAAGTTTGATTTATCAAACATAATATAGTGGTTTGAGACGAAAACACTAAACTACATCTTCAGGTAGAGAAATTTATATCATACCATGCTTCATCTAGAAGAGCAATGATACCACCAGGCTTCTGTAAAAGATTGGAATCAGTTTTAGAAAAAAAAAATGCTGCATGAAGTAATGCAAAATAACAGACTGTTCCATACATAAACAAAAAATATGGCATGCATGTGCTTTCAAGTCAGAACAATGCATAGTGATTTAGAACACTTGAGCAAATATGAAAATAGATAGAACTCTTGCATGCTTTCATGAATCTTGGGAATAATGTACTCTAGATGAAAGCCAGAATGATCTCTAAAAGTGATTTCTACTGTCAAGTCATGAATCAGTCTTTATAAGGGAGAGAAACAGATAAATGGATATAACAAACCTTTTCAATCAGATCCACGACATCTTTATTATCAACAAACTCTACATAGCTCCAATCTATTTCTTCGTTCTCGTATTCAAGTTGTTCCATTTTGAATACATGCTGTACAATATTCACAATTTTAGATTAATTAACATAACCTTGAGCCAAATCAGCAGCCATAACCTATGACTGACCTCATACCTGGTTGAAATGCTGTTGCAGCTTTTCATTCGTGTAATTGATACAGAATTGTTCAAAGCTTCACAGAAAATATAAATAATCAGTGAACAACTGAAGTAGAAGTTAGATTAGGTGATGTTATAGATATCTCTTTAGTCATGGAAACTTATACAAAGACATCATTTTCTAAAATCACAATTTTGGAGGAGATAATGATTTAATCATATCATAGCTCAGAGTAAATGCATTCTACACACACTACAAGTCAAGGGAAAAGAGGAATAGAAAATTTATCTATAGAGTGTGTATGCTCTTGGCTATCACCTGTTAGTTTTAAAGCTCTCAAAACCATAAATGTCAAGGACTCCGATCAACCGCCTAGAGTGAGAATCTTGCCCGATAGAGATATTTATTTTGTTTACCAACCTGGAAAATAATAATGAGACTGAGTACTGACTTAGCAGATGTCACCCTCAGTACTGGCATGTAATGAAAAAATATGGAACATTTGAATATTGTTACAGAAAATTACCAATCAAAGAGTCTCGAGTATATTGTCTTTGCTAAACCATCCCTACTAACGGCAGCACCAAGAGGATCAAGACTTCTTTTGATAACTTCTTCTGGGGTGACCATCATACGCTTACACAAAGCATCTTCTAAGGAATGGGGATCACACCTAAAATAACAAGTTGTAATCACATGCAGTACAGGAATCAGAGTTTAGTTGGAACAGTGGACGAGAAAATATAATACATGAGCAATTCTGATGTCATCTGGAGATGAAACGTTGACTGTTCATCTTTTAGAGATGATGAATCAGCATCTTCTCCCTTGCAAAATTCAATATTTCCAAGATGGAGAATGGCAGCCACAACTCTGAAAATTGCATCCTGAAGAGACGAAAGAAGATAAGTCATTTCCTATTATAGCAATCACCAGGTGATAGAAAAATTGCAAAGAAGAAAATTACAAACCTGTTCTGTTTCACTTATTCCAACTACATCCATAGCTCTTCTAGTAGCAAGATACTCCTCAGCATCGTTTACACCATCAAGTTCATAGCAGCTAGATTGGTTAAGATAGCGAAACGATTTAGGGTCTCCCAATTTAAATCTCTCAACATCCTGCAAATTTTGATATCATTTATCACTTCAAGTAGTATTCGCATCCGATTATAAGTAAGGACGACTTAGATAACCTACCGCTGGAGGAGCAGCACACAGGAGGTAAAAGCAGTGATAGTTACGTTCAGGATCTGAAACTTGGCAAACGCGAGACCTCTCCAAGAGGTAGGTTCTGATGGCTGCCCCAGATATTCGACCCACATCATCAAACTGAATCTCCACAAATTTCCCAAAACGACTGCAACAAGAAAAAACATTAACATCCACTAACGGCAGGTAAAAGATTCAGGAGCACAAGCAAAGTGAAAGGAGGAGAAAATGGAAGCATTCGATGATAAAAGCTTTAACTTCACCTGGAATTGTTGTTCTTAACCGTCTTTGCATTTCCAAATGCCTCAAGAACTGGGTTTGACTGTAACATGATCCAATTGGCATAAAGAATTAGATCCAAAACCAAAAGAAGAGACTCAAGTGGTATCACATAATGAGCAAGGTCCAGCCTAAGGATGTTAATGCAGGAATATAACTCAAGACTGAATACTCAAGAAAGCCTAACAAAAAAAAATAGATCTATTCATCACAACTTACTTCTAAAACTTGGTTTTCAACTGTCCTTCCTTCACCTGCAGAATGCCCTCCAAAGTATGCAAGGTAGCGCATGAGCATCTTAGTCGTTTCTGTCTTTCCAGACCCACTTTCACCACTGACCAATATACATTTATTCCTGTCTTCATTGATCATTTCCCTGTGGCAAAATTTCTCAAACTAATAAATAAAAGACTTCTGCCACTTATACAGAAAACAATTATAACATTAAAGAGCTGATAACCACCTATATGCAATGCCGCCAATAGCAAAAACATGAGGACTCAATTCTTTGAACGAGGCTTCCTTGTACTTCTCCATAACCTCAGCATCATAAAGATGAGGGAGTCCTTGAAAGGGATTGACAGCAATAAGAATGTTTCCTGTATAAGTCTGTCATGATGTCAAAAAATTATAACAGACTCGCCTATTACTGCATTAACTAACTGCTGGTTATTTACCAAGGACCAGAATGAAAATATTTGGTTTGCAACCAGAAATGAAATATTCTTACATAAATTTCATTAAGCTCATATCTGGTAGCCAAGTTGGCGAGAACTGCAGGCTCATGGAGATAAGATAACCGTGTCATGTCCTCTACTCCCTCCGAAGGAGCTTCAGCGTCTTTTGGATATAGTTTTGATAATTTAGCAATAACCTAAACAATTCAAAGGAAATGTGAATGAATTAGAAACATGGAAAGCAAAACATCTTCAGTTTGCGGTTATTGTATCAAACGACTAAAAGCAATACCAACAATTGGAGCATAATTTGAAAACCAAAGATAGAGCTAGAATAAAACCATGTTAAAAGCATGTATTCATGAAGAAATCAATGTGCACTATAGTCCATTAATCTAAATCTCCAGAAAAGAAACAAAGCTTTATCAGGCTCAAAGGACTGCAAGTGATGAATTCTCAACAATTACAAGGTAGAGAGAGAGCATTACATAACTGGAGGCAATAGAAGAAAAAAGAAGAAGAGGTCTTTACCTCTCTATCATCATTGGTTTTAACCTCGGCTTCGTCTCCCTTGATATTAAGCACAACCCCATGAATCCATGCTACCTCCGGGTCTTCCACCCAAACATGAGAATCCACCAATATGTTCTCACCCATTCCCTACCTAACATTTGGCAAGTAACTGGCTCATTCTTGTGATTTCAAATTTACATGTACAGAGTTACCATTAAAAAAAAAAATCTCAGGAATAAAAAGAAAAAAAAAAGACCTTTCGTGAAGACAAAACTCAGAACAGAACACCAAACCGACGATGCTTCTTCCTCTGAATCTAAACGCAAAGGTGAAAAATGATGTTCTCTCTGTCATGTCGTGTGATCGAGTGACAAAGAAACTCCCCTTCGATTTCGCCATTCCTGTGGACGCCATTCTCTCTGTCTTTCCCTCCCTTTCTTAGCGGAATAGACTCACTTACAGACCCGGAAACCGACCCGACAATAAAACCCGACCCAGGCTCCGAATCACGAAATTTACATTTTTTTTCTCCCCCGAGAAATTATATTATATTATATGATAAAAAAAAATCAAAAACTTTCTTGCCGGGCAAGTTGGGTCTAACTCTAGAAAAAGGGGCTAAAAAAGCCTAAAACCTCTCTTTTAATAATGATTCGATTCGCTAAATGAGCAGTGGGAGCAGCAAATCGAGGAGTCTGGGAATGGTGTTCCCGTTAGTGAAGCTAGGATCCCTAGCCTTACGTACCATCTGCAAACCCATCGCTAATCGCCTCAAAAAACAAGCTGGTATCAACCCTGGCTTCCGTCAATTCATCATCAACATTGCCCAGGTTTAAACCCTAATTCAAATCAAAAGTCTCCACCTTTTGGGTTTATATATGATCATCGATCCGAATCAAGGGTTTATTGAAAAGATCTTGAATTTGATGATAAATGCGTTTACTTTTGTGTTGTTTTGTGTAAATTTGGACAGGCGAATCATAGGTTTACCACAAAGTTACAAAGACGTGCTTCTGGTCGTGTAACTGATGCGATTATTCGGCCTTTAAACGAAGAGAGAGCTGTTCAAGCTGCTGCTGATCTTCTCGGAGAAATCTTTGCCTTCACGGTATCTTAAAGTTCTTGTTTTTTTTTTTATCTTTAAAGATCCCTTCAGAACTGTTCTGCATAATGTTCAAGAAACCGATACGCTCTGTAGTTATAAGCTTTATATGGGATTAGTGATTAGGCCGAAGCCTAGACCAATTTTTTTTCAAAAAAAAAATCGTTTTGTTTAGGTTCGATTTATTGACTAGTCAGGTGCTGGTTCTGCATCTGCCAGATCATCATTTACATCAATATTTAATAAACCTTAAGATCACTTTGCTCCTCTTAGTCAAACTTTGTTTGCATCCAATTGAACTGGTTCTGAAACCTATAAACAGTGTTGTTTCTTCTCTTAAAAGGTTGCAGGGGCTGCTCTTGTCTACGAGGTGCAGAGAAACGCCAGAGGAGAAGCTAGAAAAGAAGAAAAGCGACAAGAAGAATTACAGGTTAGCTCCCACATGTTAACCATGTCTCTGATTGCAATTCATTATAGTTTTCCACAATTCTTGCTCACTGTTTTCTTTCTCACTCTGCTCATATTTGTTTACCAGGAATTCAGACTCAGACATAAGAAGATGGAGAAAGAGGTGGAAGAGATGAACCAAAGGATCTTCATGATTTCTGAAGCTCTTACTAAACAACAACTCGCTGAAGAAGCTCTTTCTAAACAGAGAGCTCTCGAGCTTTCTAAACAAAGAGAGCCTGCAAAAGAGGTTTCTAAACCAAGAGGACTCGCTTGGCTCTACAGCTTTGTTTATTGTGGGAGTGCTCCTGAGAAGGAGAGTTGAAGATACAAAACCCTTGGCTCTTCAGCTTTGCTTGTAATATAGTTTCTGCCTTTCTGATATAATTAACCAGATTAGTTTATTGCTTAAGAAATGTTCAGGGCTTCCAACGTCTATCATAAACCCAAATTCTTCCTAAGGATATTCTTGATTATGACTTGGTCAATCACTTTTTCACATGAAGACCTTAATATAGGACCCAATATCAAGATTGTTGTATATGGTTTCTTTTTCAAATATTAAAAATGGAGTTATTGGTTTATTGAATTTAAAATATTTGGTAATCTAAACATTTAAATCATTTGTTTCTAATTTTATGATTTATAAATTTTAACCCAAATGGTTAGTGATTGTGATTTATTGGAGGCTATAACAAGAGAAAGACTTTAATAACATCAGACTTGCTTGATTGGTGATGAATCCTACGTACAAACAATGTACCAGACTCTATCTTCTCTAGACTTGGAATGCTGCTACACAGAAGAGATAACCATCCTATTGTGAATTTAAAGAATGCTATCTACGACTACTTTGAGTCTAACTACGCTAAAAAGTTGACTTTCTAAGACCTTTCACCAATTTGTTACCACCAAGCAAGTAAGTGTACTTCCCCTTGCATCTTTAACAGGAAACATCACGATAGGTACTAAGATAGAGTGCATGAGGATAGGAGAATTGTTACAGTCTAAGCCTCATTCTGTGTAGTTAAGTTTTAACAAAATCTTGTTCTGCAGTATGCTCCTTGTAACAATTAAGGACTTCAGTTTCTGAATCAGTGAAACATTTACACAGAATAAATTTTGTGAAGTTGTGAGAGGAATTGCTGGGGATCTTGTTGAAGAGGTACATGCAGGACTGATCTTTTGATTTGGTTGGGAAATTATACTAACTTTATAGATTTGCTTTACATGTATCATGCATGGTTCTTTGAAGTGATTGTTTATAGCCTTTTGCAATTTGATTCACATGTGAAGTTGATAGACAGTCTAAGTCATAAAATGTAAAGTATTAAAAGGGGAAGTTATTGACCGGTGAAAACAATCTTCCGGTTACTTGCCATCTATCAAGAATTGCAGTTTTCGAACTATAAGAGCAGCCACATTAGAGATATGAAGACAAGGGTTCACATGATTCCCCATAAAAAAAACGTTATAATAATCAACTTCGGTGCATTCGTCTCGTAGCGCCTCTTCCGTGTGAACCGGTTCATGTCTTTTCTTTGCGGACCCCATGCCACATGGCGACCTGTTATTGATCTTTTTTTCTTTTTTTTTATAAAAAGTCAAACAAAAAAAAATATAAAAAATTAAAATGGTGAATCCCAAAGGGGATTCACTTATGTGGCTGCTCTAAACAGTAGCGGTTCTGAGGAGAAGCGAAGGAAGATCGGGCTTCCAACCTTCGTTTTTATAAGAAATATTCCAGCAGCTAAATATTAGAAATCTGTCAGTAGTCTAGTGGTAAATGTAATTGTGTAAGATAGGAAAGGTGAGTTGTTCGAGCTTGACCTTTATTTTCTAATACATATTTGTAAATAGAAACCACAGACCATTCTGTGACAACGTGAATGATACTGAATCAATGCATATTTATTGATCGTTGAAGTCATTAGGATATCAGTTAATACTGGGGTTTGGTGGCCCATTTACGGCCGAAATTATTGGGTCAGGTCAAGTCATTTCCCTCTTGCAGATCGTTGGAAATTTGGACTGCTGGAAAAAAAATGCTTGGTTCAGTGAAGACTTAAGAGTAAGAAAACTTTATTTATTTTAAGCCAATTATGTTATTTTTAGTTCAGAAAACGAATATTATACAAACTATATGAGTTCAAGAGTTTAGCTAAAACCTACTTTACTTTATATAGTTTCCACTAAAACCATAAAGCTTCCCGACAGATCAAACTGCATTCACGTTACATAGGCTCCCCGCATACATTATTATATACAATCAAATCCAAACTGCCTTTTGTTATTATTCATTCAGATCAAGCTTTTTCAATTAACCAAAACACGGTAACATGCATAATCATTAGTCACAACTAGAACTATATTAAAATTCGATGCTTTTCATCTCTCTTTTTTGCTATATTTCATTTGCTCGAACGCATAATTTAACGTGTAAATTAAATTAATATATCAGTTAAGAAATAACTATATAGCTATGAGTTTTACAAAAAAAAAAAAAAAACTATATAGCTATGAAACTAACTTTAATCAACATGTTGATATCACGATATTTGTGCTAGCCACATCAGAACAGTATTATAAAAATAGTGGTTGTTTCCCATTGCAATGTATAGTTAGTTGATGTCAGATATTAAGTTCGTACAGACAGACTATATGAATCGCAGATTGATCCATATAATCATTATATTGTAAAGTTTATGGTTTTAGTAATACTTAAATAGAATTTGGATCGGAAATATGTGCAGGCTGCAGTGTTGTGATGTGTGACAGTATATGACAGTGGAAACATGTACGAATTGTTACGGAAATCGTTAGATGAAGCCTTAATTAAGCCTACAACTATAACTAGTAATAACCTGTCACATTTGATTGTCTTGTCAGATTCTGATTCTCAATGCTCAATCATTTTGCTGTTCTCAAGATATTATTATAAGCCAAATGTATTTTTGAAAACTGTGCAATTATGATCTCATTTCTCCATAATACTTGGAAATATATGAGACCATTTTACATTTTTATATGAAACCATTTTATTTTTAAAACTTCGATTCAGCTTATATTCTTTCTAAATGAATGTGAACGACTCATTTGATTTAATATTGGTTCTACAGAGAATATTAATCTTTCATTTTCTAATCTCAGCTTCTGTTAGGGTAATTTATATTTTGTCTTGACACATTTTAAACATATTATTGAAAGTCGGCTAATGATGATATTAAAAATCACAAATATATAAGAATGTTCAAAGAAATATATATATATGCGTCTTAGATGAAAAATAGGTTAAGCACCACACTATGCATTAATTACATATGCATAATGCATGTAATGTATAACCAACGTACCAGAGATCTGCATGTATATACATTATTACTTTTTGAACAAATGTACATCAGTACATATTATATACACATCAATAAACAATGATGATGTGCATATATATGCATTATTCCTTCCCCATTACACTATTACACATATGTGTATGCACATGCGAAAGCAGAATTTGGTGGATTGAGAATGAGAGGAGAAGCACATGGAAGCACACTTGCATGAACATGTCTCTATTCGCAGGCAAACAACCACTTTCATTTTAATAAATTAATGAAGAAGTTGCAAACATCACTACTTCTACTACATTATTTATCTTTATAATTTCACTTATAATTATAATACTGGAAATTATAACTTTTGTATGTAAATATTTCCCAATCAAAAGAGGGTTTTTTTATATCAGGTTACCCACTATTATATTTATAATTCGGGGTATCCGAAACCGACTATTTTTTTGAGGCTAACTCACAGGCAATAGCGTCCCTGAAGGGAAGCAATACAAGCATTAGTTTACGGCCTCTAGATTTATAGAAAGAATATCGGCCTTAGATTAAAATTGACTTTGGTGTAGTGGTGTAGCTGTACATCTTCTTCCTCTTGTTCAGAAAAAAAAACAGAAACTCATCTTTCTCTTCTTAAAAAAAAGATAAATTAGGAAGATGAATGAGTTTATATATACTAAGTTTATATATACTATATATATCATACACATATTTGATGAATGGGTTTACTAATAAAACTGCAAGAAAAATTATTTTTGAAGAATAATGTATTTTCATTTTTGTTACCTTTGATTATTTCTATTTTTGTTTGACGTTAGATTTTTTATATATACGTTTAAGATTTTTTTTTAGTACGAAAGACAGCCTTTTTTTTACCTTCGCTTCTGGTCTTTAAAAACTCAGGACCGCGCTGCTCACAGGTGACATGCAAGCCCGGTTTTTCTACGTGGGAGTTACCCACACGTCTAGCCAAATATATACATACTAAACTTAGATTTCAAACCCGGAGCGATAGCCCAGCCTGCATTACCACCTTACCACATGCGCATGGTTAACCTTTCTAACTTAAATTTAATATTTTAGGTTAAATTACTATGATCAATGCACTTAGCTATCTCTCTCTCACTGACTAATCATATGATCAGCTAGCGATATGTGAACAAAAAAGTAGTTTTTCATCTTTGTGGTCAAAGCTATTTTAGTGTCAGCAACTTTTCGTTAGATGTTGTTGTTGTTGCCGGACTTATTTTGTAGAAATTTAGAGATTGGTCTTATCTAGAAAATTAAAGAGGATATTCCTAGAACACTTTGTTAGAAGACAACCACTCATGTGTTGGGTTGTTTTGAGTAAAGATCGTACTAAAGGAAAAAATAATGAATTGTATGAGTCATATGACTAGTGAAACATTAATACAGTAGATAGTTGTTCCCATCAAAGGACAATGGTCATTTTGTCAAAGGTTTTCGATTACCTCTAAAACGAAACTAATATTAAATTTTATGGTTTCGAGTCTAGGGAGATTATGGTTTAGCCTCAAACCTATCGGTACATAAAAATAAGAGCATGACTGATGGTGGATCTTACGGTGGGTTTTTAGCGGAATGTAAGAGTCAATCTCTTAACTTTTAATTAAAAAATTAAGAACCGGTTCTTAGAGCATGTTTAATGCAAGTTGCTTAGAGAGTTACTTAGGATGAGAGAGGTGCTTAATTTAAAGAGAGAGAGTGTGAAAATTGCTTAATTAAGCAACTCCTCTCCTCTTAAGCAACCTTCTCTCTTCAAATTAAACACTTCTCTCCTCATAAGCAACTTTCTAAGCAACCTCCATTAAACATGCTCTTAAATATCTTATTTAAGAACCAGTTCTTAACTTTTTTATTAAAAGTTAAGAAATGAATTTTTATATTCCGCTAAAAACTCTAATATAATATAAGAATCCCCATTAATCACAGCTCTAAGTTCCTCTTACATTATTTGTTTTTATATAAACATGTATGTATCACTAACTAATATTTGATACCAGTATATATATCTAAGGTTTCTATATTAATTCAGTAACAACATAACCTACATATTGATTCAATCCAATAAATTATCTTATGTTTTAACAAACAACGAATACAATGATTGGCCTACATGGGGCTTTGATTCGAGGACAAAAGCACATGAGAGAGATAGGGAGAGAGAAAGAGAGAGGTCTCACGAGTTAAAAAAATATTACAGC